CTCGCCTGGTGCACGGTCATTAGTGTGGAGTTGTGGCTCAGCACGAACACATTGTCATTCTTGAGGCAGACTAGCGAACGTACTGATGTGTTGAGCGTTTGTGAGAAGCCCACCGCTGGGGCACCTAGAGCCGGGGAGCCCACGTATTGCCCCCATTTAAGGCCCTCGACTGTGTTCAACGGCGATGAAATCTCTGTGAAGACATAAGTGTCTCGCTTAAAGTCCACATAAAATTATATGTGTTACATGTATCTGTAATAATTAAAAACAAAGAAAAATAGAGCTTGCTGGGCAATCAAGTGTCCTTTTTTAAAATTTTCTTTCAAACAGATCCCCCAAGCGTAACGAAAGAAATTAGATGGATGTGTAAAAAGATGCAATGTTACAGAATTACGGTGATTATGGCAGGCCAAATGTAGCAATATTCAATTCATCTTATTTACATTCAATAGGCCATTTTACAGTTGTGTGCTTAGTTACCAGGCCTAGGACTGCAAGCGAGGTTGGAGGCGACCCTGCTTTGATACAGACCTCTCTGCTTTTCTCATTTAAATGCCAACTAGTTAGCATAAGTACAACTTGATTTTACACAACAAAAACAGTGACGTCTTTATCAAAACAAGGTCACCTCCAGCCTTGCTGCCATTCAAAGGCCAGGTCACTGAACAGACAACTGTAAATTGATCTATTCTCTATTCCATGCTCAACTATTTGTTCAATATTTACCTTTTATCCAGGATTGAATACGTCAGTTGGCACTCAACACTGACAACTCATACCAACTCATACAAATGTATAGAGCTTTTTCAGCAACAAAGTTTAAAAATCTGGGTAGATCAGACTTCACATCAAAGACGTCGACATCAGCGGCCATTTTGAAAAGTGGGTAGTTCCCAGGTCTGGTTTCTCAAAAGCGGAGTAAGCCCCGGGAACGAGGCTGCCTTTTTCACTGACCAGAAATAATGAGGTCTCAAGAAAGTTGAAGACAAAATAAAAAAGTGGAATATTGAATATATAATTGAGTGTTGAATAAAAAGTGAAACATAAAATAAAAAATTGAATGTTGAATGATAATTTGAGTGCCACGTGAATAAAGGTTCAATAATGAACAAATAGTTGAACATGGAATATAAAATGGAATATGAAGATATGACTGATCATCGCAGTTATACACATGACTTAATCAGTTGTGAAATTAAAGCCTCAAAAAAAAAAAAAACATTCCGGCTTTGATCAATCATATTTCCATATCTTTCTCCGCAGTTCAAATGTATGGTCTTTTATATATTTACTTGCATGGAATTGAATATAAATAAAATGAATTGAATACTGCTGCATTTGGCCTGCCATTGATTTGACAAAATGATAATTATTTCGTAAGCAGGAGAAGGAAAGAAATTGCCCTCGAAAATAACAATGAGTGCTTTACAAAGGGTGTTAGTACCCCAGTGATCTCTGGTTTCCATCGGTCGTGTAGACCAGGCGATATAAAATAGTTAGTTCCTGCGTATTGCTATATAAGGTAGTCACTCACCAGTAATCGTGTCAGCGGTACTTCCCACAATAGTCCCGGAATCAGATGAGAACGATGTTGAAAGCCGGCTCATGAGAGGTCCACTGTACGGGTCAGCATCTAGGAACTTGCGAGTATTAAGAGAGACCAAAGAACTCCCTTCCCCGGGTGGGATAGATTGCGGTTTCCGCGGTGGCCGAGAGCTATGAGGATATATAAACAGTTGCTGTGGAGTCTGACCATACGTTTCTATCATGGTCTTTAACGCTTTCTGACGGACAGGGTCGGTGATAGCATTCACATCCACGCCATAATAAGTCTGAAACGATAAATAATTGCTTTTTAGTTTTTTTTTTTTTTTCCTTCTTAATTACATAAACGAGACAAGAAACATAAGTGATAGAAACCGACGTTTCGGTGCATCTTGCGCCATTATCAAGGTTACATAAAAAGTGGTTTGTGAGGAGGCTAAGTTGAAGCGAATTTGCATAAAAGAGTGAATTTGTACGTTTTGCGAATAAATGTGCAACGTCATTGATAGTGACTAAGAAGGCAATAAATGTCGTATTTCCTACTCGCTTGATTTTTGTTACAGCTTCATTGAGACTTTCATTCACTGTTATACAAGTGAACGTCATGAAATAAGGCGTCGGGATACAAATTCCCTATTGCCCGCGTCATTTACTAGATTACAACATGTTTTGTAATCTTAGAGCGACCTGTAGTTGCACTGATTATAATCTCACTCATCCTCTTTGGAATACCGTGATCAATGGAGGCTTGGTATATATTTGGTCTCTCCTCTGCCACACTACGAGTTTCCCGTGAGTGTTGACCGCAAAAAGCCTTTGGCTATCCTCTGAGAATGTCAAACTAAGACAACACAGAAAAGAAGACCATATCAGTTTGCAAAATTAAAGTCTGCAATTCGAATCTTGGGAAAGGGCTCCGACGAATATCAAACCTTATGTCCTACTCCAGCATGCCATAAATCCAGAATCCCGATTCCTTGAATTTTGATTGGTTAATTACGCACGATTCAGAGGGCAGTTTTTATGATATGCATGCCGAGTAACGCACTCCTTACGGGAGAAATATTCTTTCAAACGAGATAAACGGGACCATTAAAGTGTTCTCTCAAGAATGGCAACAGTCCCCTACTGACCAGGCATTGGAAATGTGAAAACACAAGTCATTAGATATTAAGAGTGCCTGCCTGTAACAATCAGACAAATTCTTAATTTCGCGGNGTAGTTTTTGTCATGCCCCAGCCTATCTGCCATGAAAATATGAGCGAAATCGAATTTTCGACCCTTGCCGAGTTATTTTCCATTTTTATGGACAGGGACTCTTAAGACCTTGCTTTTCTCCAAAAGTGCATTCATTCTCTTTAACAATTCACAAATTCCGTCAGTAGTAGTTAGTCAAGTTGTTGTTTATCCTAGTTCATCATTGTGCCATTTTCAATTATTTTCACGCCGTTACGGCTTAACGGCAAGTCGACGGTCTTAGAATGGCAAAATATCTGGCATCTTTTTTTTCCGTACAGGCCCTCGGCCAGCAAAAAAGACAGAAATATCCCTAACCTCAGCACCATCGTCCGCAAAAAAAAAAAAAAAACAAACAAACAAACAAACAAAAAAAACAAAGCTCAAATCTCACCTTGCTACTTGATACAGGTGTTGGTCTGGAGCTATGTCACGGATGTGACCCAGGTCCCACGTGCTCCATAGCCTGTGGGTACAAGGACATCATAATTATAGTGATGATATCATCGCGGACAATAACTACACATGTAAGGCGTGACAGCCAAATGGCAATCGCTTTATACGCAGGATCTAGGAGATCTGGGATTAATCACTGGCCGCTATTGCTGCGTTGTGTATTTGGGTAAGACAGTATTCTTACAGTGTCTTATCATTTAAGAGTACAGATAAGTATCGGGGAATTGTTACGGAAATCTGAGGAAGTTGCGGGAAAAGGGGCGGAGGTGGACCTCGCGAACCGTAAAATAGCATCATTCACCCTTGTCACACGGCGGCCATATTGGATATGACGTATGTACTTTAGGCATGAAATCGAGGCGATGCGTGTTAAATCTGTGAGTTTGCAGCTAATCATGCCAAATAAAGATCATTGTAGTGTGCCCTAGCGCTCAAATAACAGATCAAAAGCTCAGTTAGGTAATTCCTAACTGAGCTTTTGATCTGTTATTTGAGCGCTAGGGCACACTGCAATGATCTTTATTTGGCATGATTAGCTGCAAACTCACAGATTTAACACGCATCGCCTCGATTTCATGCCTAAAGTACATACGTCATATCCAATATGGCCCCCGCGTGACAAGGGTGAATATCATCGGGCAGTAAAAGAGATGCCATCTAGGAACAGACTATTGGATTGACATACATCCAAATTCGCAAAAAAAGACACAACTGGTGTTTCCAGCTTAGCAGTGGTGAATCATCTAACAAATATCGCGTGACTTATTCTCACCTTATGGCGCCATTACTCAACCCGGTAGCGATAACATTAACAGAGATTCCCTCAGGAGCAGCAGAGAATTCCAGGCAGTTGATCATGTGTTCACAAGTCACTTGGTCGATAAACCTGCCGTTTACTGTCCACATCTTCATCACGCTTCCTTCTTCTACGGTGCTCTCTTCAGAGATGTAGCTCACTGAAACAGACCCAGCGGACAATAAGAACGCCGTTCATAACGTGGTCACGCAACGCTTTGTGTTGTCACGTAACCTTTATTGAAAAAAGACTTTCGCACGACCAAGGGGAAGTCATTCTCCACAAAGAAATGAGGACATGACGATGACCGAAGGACTTCACACTGTTATATAATTTAGATTTTTGAAAGTAAAAAAAGAAAATAATAATAATAATAATAATACTAACAATAATAATAATAATGATAATAATAATGATAATGATAATAATAACAATAATAATAATTGAATAATAAATTTAAAAAATACGTAGATTTCTGAAAGGTGGCAGCATCCTGTTCACAAAAAGGCACATTAATGAAGCAAAAATGTTTTTTTTTTTTAAAAAGTGAGCATCTTCAGTTAAGCTCAATTGTACTTAGCCAAGAAACAGCCAGTGACTATATGTACAAGTTTTGATTTTCCAGAACAGCATTCTCAGACGACAGGAACTCATAAAAAGACAAAGGAAAAAAAAAAAACTACGGCGAGGATGGAAAGGTATTATACAATATGGACAATTAGGATTTGTTCGAATTCGTTCAAGATTTGACAAACAACACTCACTTGTGTGCGAGACAGTAACCATATCGCCTGTGGTTCTGCTGATGGAAACCGCTGACACCGTGTTGCGGTGTTCCAAATATTTCACATAGCTTAACCTAAGAAAGAAAAAAACACAACAATGTCCATCAAAAAGGGTGAGGAATGTTTTAATACCAAGGGAGATACAGAATGAGGGACGTACAGTTTATGAAAACAAACAAAGAATCTGAGAATTTTTACCAAATTTATTTGTAAATGCTACGAAAGCATTGGGATCCACTTTTTCTCTGTCAATAGACTTACACAATTTAATCTTGATGTGAAGAATATATGAAATAATTCATATTTAAACTNCAATAGATTCTTTTTCCTATGGGAAAAAATGTTCTTTCTAATGCAAAAAGTTGTTCCTGCCATGCAACATGGCTGCCGTGCAAAACCTCTGTTGTATTTTTGTTTGTTGCAGTTATAGCTTGACAGCTGCTAAGTGATGATCAGTCCGACTCATACCCAGTCTGCTAAAATGATCGCGAAGGATAAATAACTCACTTAGAAAAAAGAGCCTGCAGAGTCGAGGTTATCCGCGTGGCTAATTATAAGACACAGAAAAGAAACATAAAAGTATTGTTGAATGCACTGGTGATTTCAGAGGGAGCCTTGAGAGGAACTTCAACAAATAATGGACTTACCTGTTCAAGTCCCAAATGATGGCTGTCGTATCGCAGCTGCCGCTGACTACAATACTGAATGCCTGGCACAGCTCTATGCATGTGATAGAGTCTTTGTGTCCGTGAAGACGAACTCTCGAACCTAGCACTTCTATTCCGGGTTCCTGGAACAGAAACGAGAGATGTTCAGTGTTATGTGTGTAAAGCGTGATGTGTGATATGTGATGGGCGATGTGTCCAGTATGCACAATGTGATGCTGTGCTACGTGTTATGAATGCATGAATGCATGATGCGTGATGTGTGTTATGGATGATGCTTCATTTATGAATAGCGAGTAGTGTTTTCTGAACTATGCAAATTTAATAGTGATCTTCAATAAATATGGAGGAACGTCTTTTCCATGCCGTCGTATTAGGCCACTTTCGTTATATTAAAACTCAGCTTGAGAGTGAGGCCTAGAGGACACAAACAAAAGAAAGAAATAAACATGGTCATTCAATTTCCTTTGTTTGTGTCCTCTAAGCCTCACCGCCAAGCTGAATTTTAATATATCGAAAATGTCCATTGGAAGGCAAACACGAAGAAATTAAAAGCAAAGTAATGGAAATGACTTAAACACGATGGCACTTAAAACTGTAGAAGAGAACATTCGATATTCGTGCTTTCAATTCAACTTCAAATGTTTCGTTCGTTTGCAAAAGTCCATTTGTTGCACGTATTGTTAATCCTTTTAACACTGCCATGTATTGACTATTTGCTATTTGGGGTTTTCAATTTTTTTTAAATGCTTAGCTTCTGTCTTCTGCAGGGAAGACGCTAGCGTTGCGAGACTATTGAAAGGAAAGCGTGACTTGTGCATAACACATTGCGTGTGGAGGAAAATGATTTAGTGACTTACTGTTGTTGGGTTGTATTTGACAGGTAACACTGATAACGTGCCAGTTGATGTCCCGATGAACAACGATTTACACCCATCAGTCACAGCGCAACACGTGATCTACGAGTGAAAGAGTCTGAATGATCATTGGTCCCGCTTTATTACTATTCCATAAAGGAGACGTCCTATCACTACAGGGATCTGTGCTGTATCTCCTATCGCTGCAAATCATAACCTATACCAGGAGAAAAGGGATGCCTTCTGCCCGAAGAAAATAATCTGTTTAGGAAAAAAACATCTCCCAAGTTCATGCAGTTATAATATCGGTAGTTTGAAATCTGGTGTGTTCGTTCAATGAGAGGTAACGGTCCTAGCCCAAAGCCGTCGTGATTGTGTTCTTGGGTGAGATAGGGAACCTATCACGGAGCCTCTCCTTACTTAGGGTGATACGTGTAATTCGTAGAGTTATATTTTTAGGGCAGCAGCATACCTTTTAGGGGTATAGTAATACTTCTATTCGCCTTATGCTAAGAAAGCAGTCAAAGGCAAAAAATCTTATGAAAATTCCTGTTTTCTATGCCTGGAAATTTGTGGAAGCTTGGTGGGATACGTACATAACTTCTTGCGAGAAAACGTTCTAAAACTAAAAGCAGTCAAAAACGAAATTATGAGACGACAAAGTAGGTTTATAACAATTATCAAATGTTCTATCTATATGCGGTGGATAAAGCTTAACGTTTCAGTTGTTGTCTTACTTTTTGGCTTGAAAAGTAGATAATTTCAGAAAATTGAGACATTTATTTGCGGCAGTTTTGGCGGGACCTGCTCGCGCGCATTGCGTTTTGCCAATATAAAGCAAAAACGAAGCATCACTTTACTTTCTCTCAATCTATCCACAATAACCGTCCAATTTGTTTACCTTATCTGGTGTATGGTGTTCCATGAGGCAGACCGGGGCACTATCAGGCGAGGTACACACGCGTATACATCCATCCATGTACCCCCAGCTCAGCACCGCTGACCACAACAATCGTTCCTCGCTTTGTCCAGGACTCGCCTGGTGCACGGTCATTAGTGTGGAGTTGTGGCTCAGCACGAACACATTGTCATTCTTGAGGCAGACTAGCGAACGTACTGATGTGTTGAGCGTTTGTGAGAAGCCCACCGCTGGGGCACCTAGAGCCGGGGAGCCCACGTATTGCCCCCATTTAAGGCCCTCGACTGTGTTCAACGGCGATGAAATCTCTGTGAAGACATAAGTGTCTCGCTTAAAGTCCACATAAAATTATATGTGTTACATGTATCTGTAATAATTAAAAACAAAGAAAAATAGAGCTTGCTGGGCAATCAAGTGTTCTTTTTTAAAATTTTCTTTCAAACAGACCCCCCAAGCGTAACGAAAGAAATTAGATGGATCTGTAAAAAGATGCAATGTTACAGAATTACGGTGATCATGGCAGGCCAAATGTAGCAATATTCAATTCATCTTATTTATATTCAATAGGCCATCTCACAGTTGCGTGCTTAGTTACCAGGCCTATGACTGCAAGCGAGGCTGGAGGCGACCCTGCTTTGATACAGACCTCTCTGCTTTTCTCGTTTAAATGCAAACTAGTTAGCATAAGAACAACTTGATTTACACAACAAAAACAGTGACGTCTTTATCAAAACAAGGTCACCTCCAGCCTCGCTGCCATTCAAAGGCCAGGTCACTGAACTGACAACTGTAAATTGATCTACTCTCTATTCCATGCTCAACTATTTGTTCAATATTTACCTTTTATCCAGGATTGAATACGTCAGTTGGCAGTCAACACTGACAACTCATACCAACTCATACAAATGTATAGAGCTTTTTCAACAACAAAGTTTAAAAATCTGGGCAGATCAGACTCCACATCAGAGTCGCCGACATCAGCTGCCATGTTGAAAAGTGGGTAGTTCCCAGGTCTGGTTTCTCAAAAGCGGAGAAAGCCCTGGGTACGACGCTGCCTTTTTTCACTGACCAGAAATAATGAAGGCTCAAGAAAGTTGAAAACAAAATAAAAAAGTGGAATATTGAATATATAATTGCGTGTTGAATAAAAAGTCAAACATAAAATAAAAAATTGAATGTTTAATGATGATTTGAGTGCCAACTGAATAAAGGTTGAATAATGAATAAATAGTTGAACATGGAATATAGAATTGAATATGAAGATATGATTGATCATCGCAGTTATACACACGACTTAAGCAGTTGTGAAATTAAAGCCTAAAAAAAATTCAGGCTTTCATCAATCATATCTTCATATCTTTCTCCGCAGTTCAAATGTCTGGTCTTTTATATATTTACTTGCATGGAACTGAATATAAATAAAATGAATTGAATATTGCTGCATTTGGTCTGCCATTAATTTGACAAAATGATAATTATTTCGTAAGCAGTAGAACGAAAGAAATTGCCCTCGTTTACAAAGGGTGTTAGTACTCCAGTGATTTGGAGTTGGTTTGCATCGGTCGTGTAGCCCAGGTGATATAAAATAGTTAGTGCCTGCGTATTGCTACATAAGGTACTCACTTACCGGTAATCGTGTCAGCGGTACTTCCCACAATAGTCCCGGAATCAGATGAGAACGACGTTGTAAGCCGGCTCATAAGAGGTCCACTGTACGGGTCAGCATCTAGGAACTTGCGAGTATTAAGAGAGACCAAAGAACTCCCTTCCCCGGGTGGGATAGATTGCGGTTTCCGCGGTGGCCGAGAGCTATGAGGATATATAAACAGTTGCTGTGGAGTCTGACCATACGTTTCTATCATGGTCTTTAACGCTTTCTGACGGACAGGGTCGGTGATAGCATTCACATCCACGCCATAATAAGTCTGAAACGATAAATAATTGCTTTTTAGTTTTTTTTTTTTTTTCCTTCTTAATTACATAAACGAGACAAGAAACATAAGTGATAGAAACCGACGTTTCGGTGCATCTTGCGCCATTATCAAGGTTACATAAAAAGTGGTTTGTGAGGAGGCTAAGTTGAAGCGAATTTGCATAAAAGAGTGCCGAGCTAATTACATGAATACTTTAGCACGATGCACCGAAAGGTCGGTTTCTATCACTTCTATCTATATTTCTTGTCTCATGTATCTCCAAATCGTTTTTTATAAGAATTATATAAACGTGTCCAAAAGTCGCACTTTCACTAATGTAAACTTTGGTCTCCTTTTTCCGACTCGAGGAACAAGGAAACGGAAGAAAGAACCAAAAGTTCGTCAAAAAAACTAACATTGCAGTCATTACACCACATTGTGTTCCCTGCCTTTGTAGGTTTAATATTACACAAAATTATTTCAATTGTGGAATTCTGTGTTAGCATCCAGTTCCTTAATTAGTCAATTGTACTTCCTGACGGGTCGCGTACTAAAGAAAAGTGTTGTTGGCATTCTTGTCAAGGGTTAAGCTTCCAGAACACATGATTTGATACGACGGCTGTTATTAGCCGAACTCACCGCGGGATGAAACACGTTGATAGCGTTCTCAGCTTCTTGTCCTCGCTGTTTGTAGCCAAACACAAGATCAATCCACTGGTTTAGGTACTGCGACACGTAATCTGATTCTAAGGCCTAAAGAACAACAAAGAACATACGCGAAGCCTTCAGTCAAACTTATTAAATCATGGAAAACCGAGCAGGTGAAGAGAATACGATCAGCTTGGGCCATATTCTCTGAATAACAAAACTGTCTCAATTGGTATCACACCAAAATAAAGAACAAAGAAAGAAGTCGCTATTCATTTATTGAACTCTCGCACAAGCATGATCAAAGCCACCTTATAATTTCATATTTCACGATTTCGACATTTCCTAGTTTGTTCATTGATATTGTAGTACCCTGAAAAACAACAATAACAATAACAACAACAAAAACAGCACAAACTAAAAAACTAACTGTGTATCACATTCACAAAGATACAGTGATTTGTGTAATTCTCATTACTTTCTCCCTTTCCTGATTGCCATTCGATATGGAGAAACTCGAGTTTAATCATGTATGCGGCTTACCTGTCTATGTATTAAAATAAACAGTCTTGTGCTGCCTTTGGCCCACTGCGGAACCTCTACGTTCATAACTCGCTGGCCATTTTGACGAAGGCCAAAATCGAATCCTGAAAGGAATCAATGATAGTGATAATGATCATGATGGCAAGCAACAGTCGTTGACTCTTCTTAGCATCATCGAAAGATGTTACTGAAAAGCGCTCTTTATAGAGAAGTGTACTGTGATTTGGTAGAGGCGTTCAATTGTTGTGAGCATACCGTAAAATCCTACGTTATAAGCCCTGGGCTTATATAACTTCAGAAGGGGTTTTGGGTGGGCTAATAAACAGGCCGAGGGGCATATAAGTGAAATAAAAAAAAGAAAAAAAATGTTTCGGAACGACGAGATAAAACATATCCGAGAGACGAATTAAAGCTAACATACCATTTCATTTAGAGCAATTACCCTATCTTATTACCCTATTATTACCCTATTAGCACCCTATTAGCCTGTAACTTTCCATTAAAATTTTTGATATTTGTAAAGAAACGCACTTATACATTGGATGGGCTTATATTCGGAATAATATCTTTGTTAGCAAATAGAAGGGCTTATATCCGGAGGGGTTAAAACCGGGGAGAGGCTTTAACGTGGGATTTTGGTGTAGTGCGTCATGATTCCTAAGTTTTGCCGACAGGAATTGAACCTTGTCAGTAGCTAGAGGAAGTTCATCGAAGGTTGTAAATTAACAGTCGTAATATTTCACTATTCAATAAGTTTTCAGTTTTCACCAAAGATATTCATATTCCAGAAGTAATGATTCAAAGCAGATGAATAATGTATCATCCACACTGCGCCAAGGAAATTTGAAAACGCACCGTTTATTTCTACGATTAGGCCTACCTTCCACACTAATCCGTCACGAAAACGAAGCATTTCGAAAACGCCGCTCAAACCTGAAAAATTTGAAGACGCCGGCTTTGCGCTTTAGTGTGGAGGCAAAACATTGTCAAAACGGAGCTTTTGAAAACCGATGCCTCACGATAATCATGTGATTTCTATGCCGAAGTTTTCCTCAAACACAAATCCACTCCGGCGTAGTCTGTACGGGGCTTACGACATTGTTCTCGCCTTAACAGAACACTAGCGATCTCGTATGCGTATCGTTACCTTCAATGTTTTCGAGGAATTCAGGAAGAAAGAAGAACTCTGGGATCAGCTCTTTGACATCAGTGGCGGACTCAAACGATGACAGACGCCAGGTGGTCNAAAACGAAGCATTTCGAAAACGCCGCTCAAACCTGAAAAATTTGAAGACGCCGGCTTTGCGTTTTAGTGTGGACGCAAAACATTGTGAAAACGGAGCTTCTGGAAACCGATGCCTCACGATAATCATGTGATTTCTATGCCGAAGTTTTCCTCAACACAAATCCACTCCGGTGTAGTTTATACGGGGCTTACGACATTGCTCTCGCCTTAAGAGAACACTAGTGATCTCGTATGCGTATCGTTACCTTCAATGTTTTCGAGGAATTCAGGAAGAAAGAAGAACTCTGGGATCAGTTCTTTGACATCAGTAGCGGATTCAAACGATGACAGACGCCAGGTGGTCGCCATGGAGTGAAACGTCCGATCCGGGATATCAAAACTGCGATCTAACAGAGACCATGAAATTGAAAAGATAGGTACAGTCGCTCATCAAGGGATCTGAACAACAGCACTGGATATTGGGTTATCCCAGATGACGTAAGGAAGAGAAACAATGGCGACAACGAAAATACGGTAAGATAAAAACAACTTGAATAAAATTCACACTCCGTTCGTATATTTCAGTTTAGCGAGGTAAAAATTAAAAAAAAAAAACAAATCGTGATTTCCAGTCGCCTATGGCGTTGTACTATGAATTAAGACCCTAAAGTTGCCTCTGCTACTTTGGTACATTTTTTTGGCTCAGAAGTAAAAAACTTATCAGAGAGACTCCACCGATCTCTGCTGTGGTTCTTCGTCAAAGAGGAAACACCACCCCCTAAACTGTAACCGCTGTTTCCACTTGTCCAGTTCCCCGCGGTTTATAGTCAACTATCTTGCCCTCTCGAATTGTTTTAAGTAGAGAATAGAAGGTCTGTGAAGAGACTTAGTCTCTCAAGAGGAAGAAAGCAGTTGATGTCACTCATTATAGTTTTTATTTTAATTCGTTCTTGTTAATCTGCACCTCTTTTGTTCTTAGGGCTACGGGGATTGCTTGTGTTGTTTACCTATTGTATCGTTTGGCCAGTTATAAAGAATCTTATACACTGGCCAGGTTGCCACGTAGAAGGATAAAACTTAAGGTGAGAGACGCCATTTTTCTAAGAAACGTTTGAAGCCGTTGTTCATTGCAGCGCGTACCTTGATATTGCAGAAACATCTTGGTAAATGGAGGCAGTCGAACGAGGAAGTGTAGAACTGTCCCACTGTTAGAATAATGACATCCATAGTGATAGGGCGCTGACATGGGATCCTCCTCATTAGCGCGTTTATACTCCTCTTGTAACCACTATCAACACAAACAATGTCACGTCACACACGTTAGAACTAACGAGTGACACAGTAACGCCATCAAAACACAGACATCAAAATATTACACGCGTAATATACACGAGGAAACAGTTCCTCTTACTTCTATTCCGTGGAAGTAAGGGGACATGACATGAACATTATTTAATTGTCAACCGAGGGTGAGGTCTTTATGGGAAATCTCAGACCGAGTCCTTGCCGTATTGACCGAGCGATAGCGAGGTCAATACGGCAAGGTCGAGGTTTAAGACCCTCTCGTAAAGACCGAACGTTCGAGGTTAATAAGTTGTTTATTACACTTAATCTGTCAGCAATACCTCGTTTTTTGCTCTTGCTTTTAACTGATTACTTTCGCTCCTACAATGACAATACTTACTCTAAAGTTTTCTCTGTATTTGCGTTCCTTTGATTGATTTTGAACGGCTATCGGACGAGAGAGGTCACTGAAAGAAATGCATAACTGTCTTTGAAACACTTTGCTTAAAACGAATAAACAAAGAAACAAATAATAACAATAAAAACAAATGTTTCACACTTAAGTCAAGATAGAACCAATTCAATCCCACCACCAAGAAAGTTTTGAAGGTCGCCCAAAAGTGTAACCGTGTGAACACTGTTGAAAATGTCAAGAAAAATTCTCTCCTTCGCAGGTTCCACTGGGGCGGCCAAAAGGCCTGCTCTGCTAAGTGCAACTTTGAGGAATGTTTATCACTGGCAGAGCGAAACCAGTAAACAACGACACGGTAACATAGCAATACCGGAAACTCTTGATATCAGTAAGGTCCAACACCTCGTGACCAAAGTCGGCCAGCACGAAAGGAAAGACGGGATACTGCATGAGGTCATTGAATGAGCGGCCCGCCATCTTGTTTAGTTCGGTGAGGTACTGAAAGTTGGTCATCTGGCCAAAACGCCAGCTGAAGACAACAAGCAATACTTAGTTAGACTGACTCATACAAAGAGACCGTGGAATTTATAATATGCAACAATCGACAAGGAAAATTCAAATTCGCTAAGCCTACAAATTTGATCCTCGAAATTGCTTAGAAACGTGACGTATTCTCGTTACGTCATGCTCACTTGACAACTACTCGTAAATGCAGACAACTACTCGTAAGTGCAGTCTCGCTAGCGTTTGATTGGGCGATAAGAATCGACCCTTAAAGCGTTGCGACGATTTGATCTAAAGGCAAACATAACGAATAATTTAACACAAATAGGACAGGATAAAATACACGGAAGGCTTGCGTCTTGAACGTGAAAACGGAACGTGAATCAACTCTAAGTAAGGGTCTCGTGACAAGAGGAATAAATCAAGAAGAAAGTAATTGTAAGGTTCAATTGGCTTATTAGGAACGGGATTTCGTCGCGCAATGCACTTGTTCTGAACAGAGTCATATTCCATGGACAAATTGTCTTTGCGTTTATAGCACGCGTAGCCTTGCGGTAGTAGTTATACCTTTGTGTCAAAGTGACGAGATGTTCTTGTTGAGGTGCTTCATAACACGGCAGATTTCTCTGTTTAAACTGTTCCAGCACGATCTCGCGATCCTACCAAGAGTAATTAAAACAAAACAAAACAAAAAAACAAAACAAAAAATAATAAGAAATAAAAACAAATAAGAAATACAAAAAAGTGTCGAATTGTTTAGCACTGTAGTACTGATAAACCATTTTACAGTTGTCTGCTCAGTGACCTGGCCTTTGGATGGCAGCGAGGCTGGAGATGACCTTGTTTTGATACAGACCTCACTGCTTTTGCTGTGTAAATCAAGTTGTTCTGATGCTAACTAGGTACATTTACATGACAAATGCAGAGAGGTCTGTATCAAAGCAAGGTCATGCAAAGGCCAGGTCACCGAGGAGACAACTGCAAAATGGTCTATTGTGGACAATGAAATAAGGGAACAAAATAATAATCGTTGATATTCAAGCCGTAAAAGAAAAGAGAAGAAAACAACAACAACAAAAAAAACAAAACAAAAACACGGAATCGTGTCATTAAGTTCTTATTCCCAATGTAATCCTTCTTTAGTTACTCTTGGGTCACTCTCCGCTTGGTAATCTCCCGAAACTGTAGAAATAACCAAAGAACTGCGGACGAACTAGGTGCTGACCAAGTCTAATATAACTTACTGATATGCTAGGTGCTCATGAGGAGAAAGTTGCAAACCAATGAGTTATGAATTCTTGTTAAAGCTACACAAAGCACTGGTAGTAGTATTAGCAAGTCTAATGTATCAACGAAAAATGGCAAGTAATTAAAATTGCGACTAAAATACCTGTCTAGTGTCGAAGGCCAACAGATAGGTCCGTCCTGTGGTGAGAAAAATCTCCAACGCATTATCCTGTTCGTGAAGAAGGACAGTCAGTTAGTTTAGAACAAAAAAAGTTATCTTGACTAGCCTTACCAAGGTACTAACGAAGTGATGGAGATATCGAGAATTAGAAAGGACTTTACCATAGTAATGTGCAGTGTTTGTGCGGCAGAACTTACCTTTAAAATAAGGAGGATTAAAGCGCGAACTGTTAGAAAATATACCATCAGTGTTTCGATGACGGTTGTAATTTTCCTCTTAGTTAAAGACATTAACCGAAAGAAAGGCTAACAAGTCATAAGGAAACCGCGGAGATTAAAAAAAAAAAGAAGACGACGGGAGTCCATTTTCTTCTAAAATAAGAGAAACGTCTGGGTTCGAAGTCTGTGTGTAGCTAAGGAAGCGGGAAATCTTCACTAAAATACCAAAAGCACGCATAGAACGAGGAAGGATTGTCCATTATCTCAAGATTACTTGTCACTAGGCCGTGACAGGTAATGACGAATTATTCAGTATTACTAGTCGTATTTCTACTCCCCTTCCCTCCCGGATGAAACCTTCTACGCAGACGTTCATAAGGTTCGTCATGCACTCCTTCGCAACAAGCCCTACGAGCGTCTGCTATAGCATACTACCTTGAATGCGATGCTAGTCCTTCAATGGCTAGCCCCAGACCTTAATTTGACGGTACCCATTTATACACCTGAGAAGAGAGGGGCACTGTGAGAGTGCTCCCAGAGTTCGAACCCAGGGGAATGTTTGAAATCCACCTCCAAATACTTGAGATCGTGTAGTATTTTACCTGAAGACAATGTCGCCTGGTTCGAATTTCTTGAATTTCTTCGTATGACCAAGAAATGGAAATGGCGTCTTTGTTACCGAGCAAAATCTATAAGGACAACGAAAAGTAAGCTACATGAAACTGAGTAGTCTTAAGTAGTCTAAATTAAAGTAACAAAATGCCCCCCTCCCCCCCGTCCTGATAGCAATTCAATTTACAATAACATCTGTATGTTTAGTACTTATTGTCTTCTTCTGATCAAAACACGGGAACGAATGATTGCCTGCCTTCCTAGGGGCAATCCAACGTTAAAACGAAAATGGAGAACGTTTCAAGATTGCTCAAGGTTGTTATTGCTAAGTGTTTCAGTTATCAACATGAAAACTTCAGTTATTTTCTAAACAAGTTGTTGAGTTTGTATTTTTATTCTAGTGGCAACATGTCAACGTTCGTAACCCGAGGGGTGTTCCCGCTACACTTTAACTGGAGCATGGGTAGCAGATACTCTAGGAATAATTGAACTAAAATTTTGCCAGACACGCCACTTGGCTTGTCAACTGACTGCATGACATCTGCCACAGAATATATACAAACGATACCTGTGTGATATCAGTATCTGCAATAGCCTCTTCTCCGACAAAATACATGTGGCTTTCACCTGCAAAAAGAATTGTTCAACGAACTCAGAAGTTACAGCATTTCATCGCAGAGACCCGATGTCAATAAACGCACTCTCACTACTGACCGTGGCACATGTCCTGTACAACTAGTGGGGAAAATTTTGAAAATCATATCACGACAATTTCTTTAGTGATCGCACGATCTGTATTGATATCATCAGGAAAAACAAGAAATTGATCACTAAACGGGCTAAAAACGTCTATCAATAAACAAAACCTATAAAAAACTATAATAAAGATGGCGAAATCGTCCAAAATAAGTAAAGGCAATGGTTCTTGCCGCTGACCAAATGAATCTATAACATTAACTGGCAAATTTGGAAATCCACAGCTTCATCTTATGATGAAGACACTGATGGTGCCGCATAAACTCTGGCCAGTCTTTGTACATAATTTGTCTTGATCCTTCTTAACTGCAGTTCTATAATAGCTACTAGTCATTGCCGCGTCTTCTCTCTCTCTCTTGACATCGAAAAGCGTGACACAAAATAGCGTGACAACAATTAGCGTGACATGCCCTCGAACAAAATTTCGAGATATTTTATTTACAACTACTTACCAATCAATAGAACGCCTTTGATCTTGTTGTCCAACGTAATATTCTTACAGTGATGAAGAAAGCTGCCAAAAGTAGTTTTAATACAGGCGAAGGCGAAAAGAAAAAAAAAAGTGCAATTATATTTTACATGGAGATGGAAGATATTGCTTCATTAATACAAACCAGTTAAAGTAGTTCTCGAATTAATGCGAATTAACTGGATTTTTTTTCTTGTTATCACTGGTATTTCTGTTCACTACATCATTAAGGTACAAAAACCAAGTTTATTTCTTCTAAATGTTTAAAAGTTCATTTTAAAAGCAAATTCGAAATCCACCTATTGGGTAAATTCCATCAGGTGTGAAATCTGTCCTGTGAATCATTTCGCAATTGCCGAGTTCTTTGTGAAAGCTTCCCAGGGACCATAAAACTATTCTACAGTAAAAGTGAATATCTAAATAAGTTCCTCCCTTCGGAGAACGATTTAGGCGACAAATTACAAAAACTACAAAATAGCGCCATTAGAGTTATCACCAAGTCTGACTACCATTCTAGCGTTACCGTCCTCCGCGGTAAGCTAGTATGGGATAATCTCTACATCAGAAGGAAAAAGCAAAAATTGAAACTAATGTTTAAAACTTTGAATGATCAGACTCCGGAGTACCTGAAGGCCTATTTAAAGGGGCAGTATCACGAGAGGTCTTCTAAGTTTTTGTGCAAACTATGCTAGAATGATAAAGGTGCACTCACTGATCAACAAAATAACCTTTAATCCACAAAAAGGCATTTAAATTCAATCTCTAAGAGATTAATGATTTTTAGTGATTTTCCTCCAAGTAACATTGTCAAACTTGAAAACGTCGGCCCGACGTTTTCAAGTTTTACACCACTTCTTTCCCACTCATCCGTAGCCACAACAGTTATAAACAACTTTCGTGGCCAGTACGGTGCACTTAAGCAAGGTTAGGCAACTACTAGTGAATTTACAATTTATACCAACAACTTCATTGGATTTCCAAGTGGCGCCAAATCTTGGTGAGACTGCCCCTTTAAACCCTTCAGCACGGACTATGGACTCAGAAATATTGAAAACAAATTAGATCTGCCTAAGCCCCGTACCGATTTTTTGAAACGTAGTTTCTGCTACAGCTGGGCGCATTTGTGGAATAACCCTCCATCTAACGTCAGAGCGATTAGATCTTTTATTAACTTTAGAAATGAGATTAATCGCCAACTGTCCTCCTCGTATTCCTACACGGCAAACAAGTAAATCACTTTTTTTTTTTTTTTTAAACACCAATCTTGTAACTGATGTTTTTTTTTTTTTATCGTGTTCAAATAAAGTGTGTATGCAAGTACGTAGAACTTTCCCCCTCCCCCCAACCCCCCGCCCCGCCGCACGCCTTATCTCAAATTAGAAATAAACGCCCTGAATGTTAGTAACGGATCACTTGTGATAGCCACTACTTACCGAATAGTGTCAGGCGTGTCAAAGATGTAGTAGACGTTTTTCTTGCTTGAGGTTGTAGTGTCTTCAAACAGGTACGAGAGTGGAGTTCCTCTACCTTTGGACTCTGCAAGTGGTAACAAAAACGCATGAGTACTATCATGGCAGACATTTGCAGACAAGTACAGATGGATTACATTTGGTCATTTGTTTTGTTCGTTTGTAGTTTGTTATGTCTATTATTTCTATTATTTTCTCCGCTCCTTTCTGGTTATTCACCTGTAACTAATCGTGTAAATATGGGGGCCAACAGTGAACTAGAAAACCGAATGGTTCACTTGAACCCAATATCCTAACTCTATTTATAAATTCTTAAAGATGTATTGTAAACATTAAAAAGTAGAAATTAAATTTACAAATGTAAGCTGTGAGAAATAAAGTATGTTGTTGTCGTATTTCAACGACACAAACTTTTATATCAACAAGAAACCCCTTTATTTACTATAAAATAAAAATAACCAAGAAACAATGAATCCAGCAAGCGTTTTAGAAATATATGAGTTGTAAATACAGTGGTGGCATTTAGAAGCTTTTAGTTGTTGGTTTCTGTAGCACGGTTTTAAACAGATACGTAGACATTTGGCTTTCACGCAACTTTCCTCAAGACTGCAAGCAAGGCAAGTGTTGACCATCACGTTTGGGGCAAACGGCAAAAATGTCTTCAACTATTGTGCAGTGGAGTTCTTTTTTTTTCTTGCCGTGAATACTGGTATGGAATGTTTTTTTTTTTTTTTTCTTCCATGTTTGTGTGATTTATCTAAGGATTGGAAGAAAAGAGCACATAATCAGAGGTAATTTTGCCCTTTCCCATAAAATGGCCTCCTGACGTAGCCTTTTGTTTTGGCCTGTCACGCACTGCTCCCTTGTTGGGGAGACTGCGTGACGAGCCACGGAACGAATAAGCAAGAAAGCAATCTTGTTGATTCAAATCATTTCACGCGATCATGCGAAGTGTCATGCAATTGTGTTACGTCACGCGTCTGTTGAAATTCTATCAACAAGATAGAGAAGCCGAAAATAGCCGTCACCCTAATACAAGCTGATACAGTTCTAACAACTCGTAAGAACAGTAACAACCACAAACCAAACTGCCCTCGCCTTCTTTCTTCAGGCGAATTCAGTTTACCGAAAGGAGGAAGGAGAAGGAGAAGAATGTAACGTTTTAGGAATGACAACACATGGTTCCTCAAGTGAAACACGATAACTTCAATAGCAATGAGACTTACCACCCCAAGGTTGATGACGAAATCTCCCGAAATACCAAGAAGAGTTTCCGCTTTCACTTTCTGGTTCTACGAAATGCTTTGATCTTTTGCCTCTCTACAACACCAGCCCGTTAATCCAAACCAAGCTCTTACAAAGTTATTCTGGTTCATTTTATCAAAATAAGAAATGGCATCGATCATCGAAAACGTGTTAAAAGCTACTGTTGGTTTGCTTTTCAAGAAGTGCCTAGATTTGGTAGTGGACAGTCTGCCAGAAGGCGACGTAGCAGAACAAAAATTTCGAAACATGATCGTGCGTGAAATCGACGATACCAAGTCGAAGCTGGATGGACTGGCAAGAAAAGATCTACTGACAAGTATTAGCCTCTTTAAGGAAGGAATTGTGCTCCTGTATAAAGTGCTGGATATTAAATACAGTTGTAAGAAGGGTACAGCCACTGAACAAGGAGCAGTCACACGAGGATCAAGGGAAGGAACTTCACAACTCAGTTTGCAATCATTTGAAACTGAGGTAAAAGTTTCGCTTGCAATGGACATGGGAAGCTTGGATGCCTCTGCCAAAAGAACGCTTGCTGATGCAAAGAAACGGTTTGATGAAGCTAGGATGAAAGCAACAGAGGCGTTCAATAACGTCGCTCTCAGCGCGTCTGATCGCGTTTTAGCCATGCAATATCGCGTGATGTCTACGATACTGGAGAAGATTGACAATCCCAAGGAGGCAATAGCAACCTGCAAATTGTGCTTGAAGAATTACACTCCATGCCAGCCGTTAAAAGTAGTTTTCAAGTTGAGAGTACAGGAGGCTTTTTGTCTTGGTTCAAGAAAAATGAACGGGCACAGATTACTCAGTCCGTTCGTGATACGAATAGTGTAGTATTCCGAGTCACAAAAGTGGCTGACGGAGTTCTTAGCAGAGAAGTGGAAGCGTGGCCTCGCATAAAGATCCGGGAACAAAATGTTAATCTCGCCGTACCAAAAGGTGACAACTGTTCCATTCCCATGTACTTCCATTGTCGTATGGACAGGAAGGAGAAGAGGAACAGAAGCTGACATGGCCACAAAGCATCACAACAAACACTACAGGTCAATTTATTGTGGCAGATAACAATCGCATCAAAGTCTTCGATTGCAATGGAAAGTTCCTGTTCTCTTTCTGTGCTACGACGGAAGTCGAAGATATTATAAAGGACGTACATGTAGCTACCGACAATGTGTTTGTACTGACCATCTCTTACAAAAGATTTAGGTTTCCTTCATCAAAAGTAACTGTGTATGATGAAGAAGGTCACCTGTACCAGTCGTCTGATGTCTGGCCAAATTCTAGTGGAATTTCAGTGACAGTGAACGAAAACCAGAGAGTCTTTGTGTTGCTGAGGCAGGGTTTAGTTCGCCTCCGCACCCCGTACACAGTAGAAGTGTGTGAAGCCGATGGTCAGCATGTGAGAAGCTTCAGTTTTAAGCCATTAGTAGGAGAGCCAGCATGCATCACCAGTGCCGGTGGCAATCACGTCATAGTTTTATTCACTGAGGTAACAAACATTCATATTCACATTTATGACGAGGAGGGCAACTTTTTGAATCACGTCAGTCATGGTCTCTTTTTCTCTATGGTGCAAATTGGAGCAATCGCGTTCCATCTGTCAACAGAACACATTATTATCCCCTTAATACGCCGTGATGATACCGTGAATATTGAAGTACTTACAAAAAATGGCATGCCTGTACATACTGTGCACCTCGAAACAGAGGAGATCGACTCTTTATCAGGAATAGCGGTAACCACGGAGGGACGCATCGCGGTACTTTGTACCACAAAAGAAAGTCAGAGAAACAGCGAGAAACACCTGGTACTTGTTGTTTGAGGAAAGCGGACACAAGCAAGGGAGGGTTGGTTTTTCTCCCCGTTAACTGAGAGGAGAAATCGATACTCGAGACAATAATTGCCAACGAGACAGGCGAGCGAAAACGCGAGCCTGTCGAGGCGGCAGGATATAGAGCCGTGCGTAGTTTGATGGCCATGCAGAAAAAATCTCAGATCTTTCAGCTCGATTTTCGTGTAATCCGGTTCCGTCAGTGATATATTTTTGGCCATATTAGGATGTAGCCGGAAGTTGTCGATATATCGCACAAACCAATCAGAACACTATTTTTCTTTGTGACGTTACGAGGCTTCGATATTTGTTCAGCTCCCCTGCGTGCGGAACTATTTTGCCTACCATTCTACTTTTTGAGGCGTATACATCTTGGATTTGTTGTGATTGAATCGTACAATTTTTAAAGCTCAACAAGACCCGAGTTGTTTTTTGGAATGAATGCGAGTGTTGCTTAATTGATTCAGAGTAACGCTCAGGATTTGCCATCCGTTCGACGAATTATTTCGGTAAGTAGTTTGTCTGACATTCTGCTTTTCGCTGTGGCTACATGTCCAGCAGCCGGACAGGCTTTCTAAAATACTCTGTGATCGGCAGTGAGACTTAATTTATTTTTTAAAAAAGTAAAACTACGTAACAAGAACGTTATGATAGGCGACCCCAAAAGGAATCGAACTCGAGTCACCAGATATCCATTACCACTGCGCCGGCTGCCGGACATAGAGACACAGCGTCTGCTTTTTGAAGATGAATGTAAAATAAGTTAGGAAAGGATCAATGAGGTGCATGTAACTTCGATTTAACGCGTTTTCACGGAGACAATAGTGTTGAGCAGAGAGCAGTGTAAAACAAGCTTGCATGTAATATGACGAAGACTATCAATGTTGTTTGTTTGATTTGAATGTGTTTTTAAAGGATTATTTGCAATCAATTCGGTGATTCGCGGTAAGATTTTAAGTGATTAATGGCATATGTTTGGTATGAAGTTTCTTTTAATTTCAAGAACTTTGCCCAGAGGTCGTCAGAAGTGAACTCATTGGTTCGATCTGAGCTGTCAACACGTTGATTGAAATTTACTCTCAAAGAGCGCTTTCGCTCAAATAAACACCTGAATGAGGTTTTCCAATTATGCGATTCAATCGCAACAAATCCAAGTTACATTCACCTTCAAAAAGCAGAATGTCAGACAAACTACTTACCGAAATAATTCGTCAAACGGATGCGTTACCCTGAATCAAATAAACAACACTCGAATTCATTCCAGAAAACAACTCGGGTCTTGTTGAGCTTTAACAATTGTACGATTCAGTCACAACGTAACAAATCCAAGATGTATACGCCTCAAAAAGCAGAATGGTAGGCAAAATAATCGCCCAACGAGGTCTCGCACGCAGGATTTTAAAAATACAAAAATATTAAGTGTTTAGCGTTTTGAAAGTGAAGTATGATCATCGCAGTAAATTTTCCAATTTAAGCAACTGGAAAGAAGAAGCCTGAAAAAAATCAGGGCTTCAACGGGATTCGANTCGCAACAAATCCAAGTTACATTCACCTTCAAAAAGCAGAATGTCAGACAAACTACTTACCGAAATAATTCGTCGAACGGATGGCGAACAAATCGTGAGCGTTACCTTGAATCAAATAACCAGCACTCGAATTCATTCCAGAAAACAACTCGGGTCTTGTTGACAACAACATATCCAAGATGTATACCCCTCAAAAAGTAGAATGGTAGGCAAAATAATCGCCCAACGAGGTCCCGCACGCAGGATTTTTAAAAATACAAAAAAATTAAGTGTTTAGCGTTTTGTTCACTCACTGAGTTGAAAAATAAACAATGTGTTCAATTACAGCAATAATTTGAAACATTAACTAAAAGAAATTCATTTTAACACCTGTTATACTAGAAGTATCCCAAATAAATATTACAAAATTCAATCCACTCCTGTTTACTAACTCAATTCACCCGTTGGCACGTGCCGATAGGTACAACTTTATGGATGGCTTACTAAAAGAATCCGAAACATTCGCGAAATGTTCGGTGTGACTCAAAACTACCTTATTACATGAAATTTTCGCGACACGTTAATTTCGCGATTTTGAGGTTCGCATATTTCGCGACACCTTAATTTCGCGATTTTGCGAAAATTTTTCATTTTGACTCACTTTAATTTCGCGTTTTTGAGTGAGACACGCTTTATTTCTTTGTCGATGTTATTTAACATGTCCCTGAATTTGATCAAACAACTTAATCAACAATGTCCAAATAAACAGAAACGCAACTGATTATGTAAACGGTAACAAGAAAGATGTTCTCATAGTGTCTGCAATGCACGGTTTGTAGTTCATGCTTGAATTCAAGTCACGTTTTTAGTAGTCAATTGATCTCATTATCCATATACATTAAATATTCCTTTCTGCAGACTCCAAAGAGATAATGTTGCCGTTTAGTTTCACGACTGATGCTGTTTAATTGTTTGCGTAAATGTCTTGATACGGATCAACAGGCGGTAGCACGTCTTTTCCAGAGGCGAGAGTAAGAATGGAGGCATCTACTAAGAACGTTGAAGCAATTGAAAGGTTTAAGCAACTAGTGGAACAGCACTCTAAGGAGCCTGTAAATGAACAGTTTGAGGATTGTACAAAAGAAGGGCTACCTGGAGTGGGGACAGAAAGCAGTAGTGATGAAGAGGACCAGAACATTACCACAGAATAGTTCAAAATGATTGTTATAAACGTGTGTAATGGTAATAAAGTCGCTTTTTTAATTATTGACATAATGTGAGTCACTTAATTTTCGCGTCATGTTAATTTCGCGACATTAAATTTTCGCGTCACTTAAATTTCGCGATTTTTTTTAAATCGCGTAATTCGCGAAATTAACGTGTCGCGAAAATTTCATGTAATAAGGTAATCGGTTTCCTTGCGCGCTCCAGTCGGCCGAGAGCGTAAACCCTGGTGGCTGAGATATATAAACAATATTCTCCATTTGGGGCGAAAATATGCTCGGATATTTGTCCGCGGACATTATCTGTTCCGAGAAGTGAACAGTTTTCCAAGAGCGTATCTCGAGGAAATCTTTGAAGTTTGAGGAACAGATAATGTTCAAGGACAAAATATCCGAGCATATTTTCATGCCAAATGGAGGCTATTGTGTTTATTGTCCTTCAAAAATTTTTCGCAACACGCGGTTTTTACAATTGGGGAATATCCTCGGATATTTCCAAGTTTTAGCTGGGAAATATTCGGTCACGTGACGTGTTTAGACTAATCCCGCGCGAGCGAAAATACTTGTTGGATTATAATGCGTCCTTATACATCACGTTGGAACCAAACACAGTTGTTTTCTTTGCAGGGCTTTCTTCTTGCAGGAGATTGGTCAGTAAGGATGGTTACAGAAACGACATGCAGAGAGTCGAAACTACTGAGAAAAGATCACTATTCACTCGAGATTTCTAACTCTGAATGAAATTTATTTCCATATTCTGCTTTATCAGTAGAAAAAAACAGTAATTTACTTAATACATAATTCACTTTTAAGCCTGAGTCGACCTGGTTTAATTTATTTACAGTCGCTTTTTATCTGTTTCTTGCAAAAATTAAACAATAATATTAAAGTTGTTAATATTCATTTTCCTGTTATAAATTAATAAGCATTTACTTTCAGAATTGCTTCAAGGGGCACGTTTGCTATATCTGTTTATAAAGAAGAATTTTTTTTTTACACAGCACATTGACAATCTATTGGTAACGAAGGACATTTGGTAACGAACGTAGCATTTCTGAAGCCGTACATTGGTTGACACTTTGGTATTCCGTGTGTGCTTATCGCGAAACTACATTCGGGATGCATTCTTTTACACTGCACTTTGTCAACCCAGAGATTTCTACACGAATCGATTTCTCTCACAACTCTTGAAACACAAGCGTGAGTATTCCTGACAATGCGATCATGTTCAGTTGGACTTTCAAGGAACCCATTTCCATCACTAGTGTGGTTACTCTCTTGACTAATGATCTCTTCAGGTTCAATGGCGTGGCTTAATGGCTGGGAGTCTTGACCTTGCGAACGCTGATTGAAGGCCTGGCTGTGAGGAGATGACACGTCCGGGTAAAGGGGTTGTGCAAAAACCAGGTTGAAATAGCTGAAGACAAATGCCATAGATAGGAGCACCTTTACGAAAAACAAAAGGAAAAACGATACAATAAATAAATGAATGAGCTGAGTACGACAAGCAAGAAATACCTAAAGAGTGAAAGTATTTGATCCACAACAGTTCTTGCATGAACAACTGAGTCTGTAAAACACCGGGCGGGCGCTCTATCCACTGAGCTATGAGAACTCATGGAGAGCAAGGTCATTTAACTGAGTTCGTATATGACAGGTGTCCTGCATATTGCTAGGATCAACGCTATCAAAGTCATCGTGAGTAGTGATAAGTTAATAATGATGTGACGTGTTTCATAGAACTTGATACTTACCTTTAGCTGTACTGCAATATTCATCCTGCAAAGAGGGTTCCCAATAGGTTTGGCGGGATGCGGGATTTGGCTTTTTTTCGCAGTGATATTTGGGATTTGTGCGCAAAACAGGTGCGGGAAGCGGGAATTACAGTTACGAGCGGGAGCGGGATTTCGTGTTTTTATGGGGTTGGGATGCGGGATTTGCAAGGGGAACAGAGCGGGATACGGGATTTGAATTCTTACGTGACCTCATAAATTGTTATCGACCAGCGCAAAAACCACAAGCTGGCAGAAACGAACCGTATAGCTGTGTCAGGCTTCAAGTAATGAATAGCAACCGCTCTGTACCCTGTCAGGTTCTGTCAAACGTATCGTCCATTTCCGACATTTTCGATGCTTGCGTCTGTAACCTTGACCTCCCGATCCTTTCTAGTTTTTCTAGTCTTTCGACCTTTTCCAAAGTGCTTCGCTTGTTTTGGCCAGGATGGCCACACCAGGTGGCGGTGATAGTGATTTACCGAACGAAGTATGCGACATTACGAATTTCGTCACCATATATTAGACCATATTACGAGAAGGATGTGCGAGCAGGAATGCCTTCATTCGGAAAGAAAAGTTCTGAGCCCAGATTTCAAGTGAAGTGAAGACGCTTAAAGCTTTGAAAGAAACTGTCAAGTGTGTTTACGGGCCATCTCTTGAATATGGGAATAAACGATCTTTTTCTTTCACTGATACGTGGACAAAAGGAAACAAAACAGTAAACCGTTTACAGAAAGAAACGTTATAATCATTTGCGCTTACTTGTCTGCTACCCATTGAATTCTTTTGTGATCTTTTATGCAATATCTTGTTTTAAAAAGTTTGTGTCAATAATTAAATAAATTATTAATTTAAAAAAATTAGAAACGTCCTTGAAAGTAGGCGGGATCGCGATTTCCAGGCAAAAAAGTACGGGATGGTGGGATTAACAGGAAAAAATGGGCGGGAAAGCGAGATCTGACAACCCTATTGTGGACCCTCTGCAAACAGTTCAACCGACGTGAAGCTGTTTCCTTGAATTATCACACTCTGTTACTGAAGCGCTAACTATGCTTTATGATCAGAGAGGAAAAATGCTGCTGCTTATATAGAATGAAAAATTAAATTTTTCCCTAATTCGTTCCTTTTTTATCCGAAAATAGGTCATTGTTATCAACTGATCTTCGAGCCGTCAGAAACACCTTGGCGAGTGATAGCTGCAGATAACAGATGCTACTGAAAGTAAGCCTAGTAATTTGGTGGAGTATATGTTCTACATCCTCTCACGGCTTGGTGTCAGATGTTAAGGGAATTTTTCTTATCCATACGTTCGATTGCAAAGGAACACTTCCTAAAGTATCTGGTATTTTATGTCCGCATGTCTTCAAGCGTAATATTTATAATAAAGTCAAGAAATACTACAACAGGTTCGAAACTCATGTACTGTTTTGTCGAACAGCGTTTTTAGAGTATTTCATGTCTTGTTTGTAGCTGGCTTCGCTAATTTAAGCCCGTTTGTTCCATGAGATTGTGCAAAGAAAATCATAGTTAGGGGTCGTTAGGGAGGATGGCTTAATTTCTGTCACTGGACAATATTTTCATTTAAAACCAAGTTACAGAAAATTGAGGTGCTGCATCACTTCTACATAAATATATACATATCAGGTGGTTACTTTTTCGATGTGCGAAATTACCCTCAAATGAAAAAAAAAGTCAAATAAATTCCCAGTGAAGTGAAAACACCAAAGACCTAATAACTTGAAATGAAACAAAGTACATTCTGAGGGAGAGAGATTTGTAAAACTAAAGCCAAACTAATCTGCGATTCATCGTGTGTACATGCCGGACGTATCAAGGTTTCAGCGGAGTTTCTGATAGTTTTGCTAGTTTCTCTTCATCCAATCTATGGCAAAGCTTGTCTTCTCTCTTGTAGTTTATCTTGGGCGACTCTATTCAGCACTGCTTTGAGCCGATTTAAAGGTAAGTTTTATAACTTTCCTTTCTTAATTGTTTTTCCCGCTCCATTGCAGGACGAAGCATGTTGCAGATCCCTTATTTTTGACTGCTCAGTTTAATTTCCTCGATATCCCACCACTTGGGGAAGGAGAACCATTAATCACCCATGTGCAGAGTAGGTTTCATGACGTCATTTGAGAAAATAAATGTTTAGAATCCTTAAATATTTTGGTTTCCATAGTGTTGCATACTTGGTTTTTTAAACAGATATTTTACAATTCTTCTTTTTTAAAACAATGAAAACTTTTTGAGAGAGATATTGGCAATAGTTTTGAGGGTTTTGAACAACAAATTTTGAACAAAAGTTCTGAAACTCCGTTCCTGGACCGGTTGAAACACAAGTGTCTGAATCTTATAGAAATAAAGGCTCTAGACGAATCCAGATCAGCAATCTTATGAGTAAAAAGGAGACATGGGACTCAAATTGAATGCAACGTTATAATTAGATTTTCTTTTGTCTCATTTGAAACAATCCTGCCAATCAGCGTTACTGGTAGGCACCATGAGGGGACGTAAGCGGCGAAAACTGGAAGTACCACAAAGGGATGTTAGGAAAGTTTCCTAACATTACTAACATACCTAACCCCAGGTTGGTTTGCCTTGAGCCGGGCAAGGTGTCATAATATGTTTCACTGTCATGTAAATGTCATTAGATCTGAAGGACACCAGATGAATGGGAATAAATATGAGAAGAGAGAAATATCAAGCACGGCAACTGATACGCATCATCAAAATGTAATTGACGCGTGCTCTTGTTTCGCGCACACAATAGTTCCTTTATTCGGTCAGACCCCTCGTGTAACAGATGAGAGTAATGATCAAATGAATAAGTCTGCAAAGACCACTACACGACAGGAAGCGAACGCTGAAGTAATTGGAACTTCAAATGAACAAGGAGAACCTCTCTCGCCTCCTTAAAAACGCATTTCCGTGTGAAAAGATTATAAAAAAACGGGGAAGATTTTAAAGCAATCTGAAGTTTAAATGCCTTCAAGAGGAACGACCATTTATTGTAAATAAAATCGCAGTGAAGGTCTAACAGAAAAACGCGCGTCCAACGAATGCAAAATCGATCTAAGGGATCTAAACGCAGAATGCCTTGGTGGTGGAAGCTACGGACATTATTTACGCGCTCGCTATCGGCGCATTGATGTGTAGCAAATGATAGAAACGCCGTCTTACATAGAACAAACCGTTAAGCTGCGAGATTACTCCTTTCGCGTTAGATCGAGAGCCGTGTTACCCGCCATTTCAGATAGACAAAACATTAAAGCTGCGTGATTATTTATTTCCCATTACATCAAACTGTATGAGGTGAGTCACCCGCCAGTTCTGATGGACAAACATTAAGCTAATCGTGTCAGCATTCTGACAAAATTTCTTGCAGATTTAGCGAGACCTCGGGGTAATGCGACCTCTCGTTCCACTAGCTGGCGGTTTCATTACGGTACAAACTAAACCGTTGACCTTTCTGTCATCCACCGGCGTTAACGTTTTCACTGGACACGGCATTTACAAACGCAGTCGAACAATTTAAAACGCGCAAATGTCCCATTTTCGATGATGAGTTCTTGCTATTGGCGTAACAAAAAGGCCACAGCAAACCAAAAATTACGAAGGCACAATTTCGAAATATTCAGAGTAGGCGTTACCGTCATAACTCACTCGGCGTCTCCATCGGCCAGCTAAAGTGATCTTCTTTCCACTCGCGCAAATTCATTGAGGAAACCTGACACAACTGAATTTTTCTTGAAGAACTGACCGGGGCATCCTCTACAAATACTGCTACTAATAACATACCAGTATTTGTCTGGTGCAAGTACACGTTGATGAGGCGAGTATTAGAAAGAGCGCCAACCCTTTCATTGGCGCCATGACAATCACAATTCACCACAAGGCCTCGCGACGAGATCTTACGTAGAAATAGGTTGGACACAGATCTGACAACGAAATTAGCCAGATGTCTCAGAGGAGGGGCTGACAACTGACCAACACTTTCTGTGACAGGAACTCACGCCATCGCTAACGTTAACCGCAGACAAAACTCTCTGCGTGAAGCGATACTTGCAGTTTTCGCCGCTTGCGTCCCCTCATGGAAAGAATGTGTGTCACACAGGGCTTTATAATGTTAAACTCATCTTTATGATTAATCTTGTATATGTTGTAAAAGGGAACTGAAACCTGCCTATTTTTCCAGCACTAAGAATGGGATTTGGGTTACTGGAACTTTGAACAGGGCTCGAAATTAACTTTTTTCTTTCGGGAGCCAGCTGGCGAGTAACGGAAAAATTTTGGTCGCCAGTTCGTAAATTTTGGTCGCCAACTTATTTTATATATAACTCACAAAAGAACACGATTTTGTACGTTACTTTGCGTGTAAGAAAAGTCACAATTGAAGAGCGAAAACAATTAGAAACAACACGAGTAACAATTAGTTATAAAGCTACCATTGTTCTCAGGTGATATGTCTCTGGTCCGAAGGTGATGGTTGTCTCCATAGTCATTTTAAATGAAGCGAAACATAAAACGTTCTAAGTCCGTGGTTTTCATTGTGAGACAAACACGGTTCCTTGCGTATATGCGTATTTTATTCAACAACTGAGGAAGGATTCAAAGTTTGGATTAACCTTTTGGCTGAATCTTCATTCCCCGCTCGTAAAAACTCACGTAATTCCTTCAGCTGATTGGTATCTGCC